GAAATGCTCAAAAATACTTTTGACATTTAGATAGAAAAGGGACATTTGTATGCAGCAGGCGTATCAAAAATACCTTATGTAACATCGGGTTTTCAAAAAGAAATATTGATCATTTTTATTCTCTATAGAGCAAAGATTTATTTCATTCCAAAATAATATTTATTCAAAATATGCACCATTTTCATCGATGATCTTCTGCCATTTTTTGGATAGCGTTATAATCTCATCATTGTGTAAGACCTTTGTGGCTTCTGGGTGGAAAACTGTGACAAGTGATTATCGAATTGCTCTATTATAAAGTTATAAGTATGCAAGTTCTACACAGAGCGAAACAGATGATTCGAAAACGATGCTTTGTGTTTACTAGTTTCGGATTTTTTTTAATAACTTGTTGTAGTTGTTGACAGCAGAGATTCAAATCAATCGCTTTGTCGCGCGACAACAACCCGAAACGCGCGACTCTATTTCAGTATACGTAATATCATCTTGCTAGGCTTTATCCCAGGTTTTATAGCTCCATTGTCATATCTGTTCTCGCTTGTACATTACTGCCATATATGATTCCCTTTTTAATCACTTGTAACTAACTAACTAACCGCTGCAGGAATAGCTCGATTTCGTAGGGTTTTTACAGAGCTTCGCAGACAGAGATATATAATCGCGTAAATTGTTTTTTTTTTTTACCTCGAATCGTGTGGCACCCGGACATCAAGCCTCCCTGTGGCCACCTTTCGTTAAACTGCTCAGATCTGTTTTATACTGAACACTTAGTTTCGTTAGCGAAATCGTGATTACCCAGTTGTCGCTTTCGCAGTAATTATATATCAGTATGTGTCTTCTTTGACGAAATACCACCTATGGGTCTTTTTTTTATCAATTACACATCTGTATAATAAACAGTATACATTTTAATGGGGCTGGGCTAGATAAGTTTGCTTTTAATCTTTGCAGTTGTCTACGTTATCTTCAAGGTCATCTCTCATAAGCCTTAACAAGAGTATTCTAACAAGTTTAAAACGTCTATTGCTGGCGGATCTCACTTTTTAAATGATACCAACACTAACCTGTTAGGACTCATATTCATTTCAGGCCATATGGCTAGAGAGATGGTCAATACAACTTTTGATGCAATACAACAAATATCATTAATTCATAGAGAGGTGCACAAATGCAAAAAGTGCCAACAAACCTTTATGTTTTTTTACTGTTATTATTATTATCTTTATTGGTACCATTTTTCATAGCAAATCTATCTATTGTCCTTCATCTATATCACTTTCACCGATTCATAATAGTAGACTTCTTAATCGTGCTTCTTTTGCCATTTGCTCTTATTTTTCCTATTTACCGTCTTCTAACAGGTGCATGCGTAAACAGTAGAGAGGAATCAATCAGCTGCCCCTATCAGTCAGCTTGTTTAGGTGTGCCGGGTCGATAACTCGACCCCTCAGTCGGCTTGGGATCATACGCCGATTCTTTTTAACCCATACAATCCTCTACCGAATTATCAATCCTAACCCAAAAGAACAACGAGTCGGCAGCGGCGGTGGCGCTAACACTTGGCTACGGCCTTAGACCGAAAGGCCGCCAGTCGAAGGTTCTTTATTAACTTTCGTCATAGACATGCTTCATTATGCTTTACTTTAGAGCGGAGGCAAAACAATTACTATCGGAAACTTCCCTGTCCCCGTAGTTCTCCAGTAACCCAATAACACCTTGCGCACACATTCGTTGCGGCGGCCTAAGAAAGTTCTTGACAAAAAAGCGACTCAGTTTAGATGAGCCTAATTGAAAATGGCCTTTGAACGAAGGGAAGGCGTCACGATGTTATGCGCATACTGAACTCTAGTAGCTGGTCACTTGTCGGTACGCGGGTGGCAGCTGGTATCAAATTAATTGCGTGGACACATACAAGCATAAGTGTTTCAAAGCGATCTGCCAGCATACACAATGGTATAATATAAAAAGGCCGGCTTCAATGGCATGTTAGAGAACATGTTAGTTCAAGAACGAACAGCCCTAGGAAGCATAAACGCAGCGTTAGGACTATCGTCTGTATCGATTAGCCCCAATAGATGACGGCGTTTTATTGTAACTTCATGCAACAAAGGTAAAGCGTTAAAGGCTTCATTCACGATCCTAACAATAACAACTAAAGGTTTACAAACTGACCCTGCTTAGCGACGGTGGTTTTAAGGTTGCTTTTGGACTTTGTTTTATGGTTTACGCAGAGGCGTCGGCTTTGGTTAGATAACACGAACATCGCTGTAAACTGTAAAACGTTAATATCTGATGAATAAAATCTGAGAAACCCCTTTACGTACACCAAACGTGTACTTAGCGCCAGTCAGATGACGCTGAGATTCCTAAACGTGCATATTTTATGACGGCTGCCTCTTAAGCATTGTTGACGACCTTTGTACCTACGATAAAGACGGCGCAAATAAGGGCTGCAGCCCCACGAAACGAGCCTACAATAAGAACATAGATGCGCAGAATTTTTCGACTTATTCTTTGCTTTAAACATTCTTCGCGTGGCCGATTGAATGATTTCCTATATTGAAGTGAACACAAAAGACCCGATAAAACTATATTAATTATACTGTTCGCCCGTCTCGACCTCGTTTTGCACACGACGAGCGCTTTCCTATGATTGTTGACAAAATCACACCCCCCAATAAAAGAAGCCATCACACGAATTTATCTTAGATCGATCAAATCAGACACGCGTCCTATTCGCAGCGTCCGTCACCAGTCATATTTTCACAAACGCGGACACGTTAAATGAACATCCGTTAGACTCGTATACAAAGTCGCTCAGAAAACCAATCAATGGACCAATGTATTTCATTGCTTTCTATATTTGCACTCAGGCAACGCCTCAATTTTGATACGTGTATATATATATATACGTAATAAAATACTATCATTCAGGCTGAATACGGGGAGGAATTACTAATATATTAGGTTTAATCAATACCACATAGAAAAATGAAAAGGTATGGAACACTATAAGTTCATGATGCATGTTTCACGTTAGTTGAAATCGTTTACGTCCGCAAACCTCTTTTCTACAATGAATCCAACAATGTATGGGCTGTCGCGCAACACTACTAACCTACATTGAACTTAGCTGTCTTCGATTTATTTAATTAGATTAATTAGTAATTAGGAAGAAGTAAGGGGTTCTTTTTTTTTTGAAATTTCCTAATTGACCTGAATATTCCTGGTTAATTTAGTTTACAGCTACTGTTAATTTTAAGGTAATTGAGGTTTGTTTTTAGGCTGCATTTCAATTGACCTAATAATGGTTTGGCTGGTGCTTCTGATCTGAATTCAATCTTCCCATTTCAGTAAATAAAGTTTAACAGCTGGCTTATACCCTGTATCGTGTTTAGTTCAATAACTCACCTCGTGACTCATCAGGCCGGATGTTGATTATCTTCGATCTCTGTTAAAATGACCGCCTCCGAAGAACTCATCTCCGAATGGCGCTAAATTTCTCACCTGTATACATCTAAAAAATTGCGAGTATTGTGATAGAAATAATACATAGCGGCTCACATAGAACCCCACTTTTTAACACATTTCTCTTGGTTATGCTGAAAATGTCGGTGTGACTATGCTATAAATCGTTCATTGATCTCCGCTAGTCGTCATATTTAGATGGGTTGCCATCGTGTGAAGAGCTCTACTGATTGATTGGTAGGACAAAGCAGTCGACGATCAGAATGTTCCCTGATGGGCAGGACGAGAATTGAACTGGTAAGAGGTTGACGATTAATGAATGATTGAACACGTCAAAATACTAATGCAAATGAACATCTACAGATACATTTATGGAAACATCCAAAATGTTATTAAACAGTGAGTGTGTTATTTCTCTATACCAGGCGCTGTCTGTCTATTGTTTATCACCAGACAAATAGCAAATTGTATAGCCAAGAGCCTTATTCGTCGTTATTGAAATGGGAGAAACATGTCTTGAAGACTGTACTGCCTGCGTCGTCGTCCTCCATCGTATCCCCATAGATGCTGCACGCTTTTTGCGTCGACATAACAATCTCGAGGATTTTCGATTGGAATCCTAACAGGAAAAGTAGTTTATATCGACCAGCTATCTCCTGTAACCTTTAATTCGGTTTGCCAAGCCCCGTAGCCCAGCGGCGAACCCGTTACTCACGAATCCATCTGCCCTGTATTAACAATATAGATGCAGATATACTTTTACGATTTTCGTCGTTGTTGTTGTGGGTGCTGCCGTGCCACTGTCCCAGCTGACAGCTCCTGTAGCCGTTATGTTTTCAACAGCATCGATTTTTCCCGAACTTTACGTCGGTGTGTGAGTGTGTCTGTTAGCGTTGCTGATCGATAACAAAAGCGACAACACAGTGTAGTATAATACCGTACGGTTAGACCGGTAATTAGTGTTCAGTCAGTAGCGATATTGAGCTATAGTTCGGCGGGCTTTTCAAAATGTCTAGAATCTGCAACAGTGATTGAGCACTATAGATGGCCAACGATATCGCCAAATTGCAGGAAATTAGATGCCTTAAATTTAAGCCCGTATGATGTAGGCCCGTTGCGAAGGGTATCTGGCGCCGCTGTATTTAGAAAACTTAAGTAAGAACCCCTGCTCAGCTTTTTTAATAAATGTTCTTACTTTTCTTCTAGTTATATACATGGCTCCAATACAGTACTACGATTGTTAGTTTTATTAATCGTCGTATGATGTAAATGGTAAAAGTGGGTAGTAATATGGGCCCTTACTAATTATATAATAATAATAACGCAAATAATAATACTTTATAAACTGTATTATTTCATTGGATGACATAGTATTTAACTCAGTTACCTTGGCAACGTTTATTTCTAGTATACTTATGGGGGTGTTCAAGTGTCTCCTGAACATTAATCATAAAAAAGGAAAAAAAAAGGACTTATTTAAGTTTGTAATATATTATGATCTCTTTTCGTCGCTGCATATCCTTCGTTTGCAGGACCCCCGCCTATTACAGGAGCTGGGCACAAAGCATGCTGCACATAGTTTGGAGGATATTTCGTTAACAATCTGTTCGGGGACGGATATGGTCAATATCAACTATACGCACGTCGTCTGCCCTGATCCAGACATCGCGCTGGCCTGGCAAACAGGACTTCGAGTAGTCACGAATAACATAAAGGTAATGAATAATAGTAATCAGTATATGACTGCTATGATTATAAGACGTAAGGAGACAACAGTAAAAAAGGAGCGCCATGTAACCATGGAAACACTCGTTTCACAGGAACTAATGTAACCCCCAATGGGGACCCTAATGTAGCTGTAAGGAAAGAATACTTTTTTCTTTCTATTTACTACCACCGTGAACATTTAAATTTTTTACAGGCTGTTTTGATAAGCCTCAGAGTGAATTTTGGATGAAACTCAGTTTGTACCTTTATGTTGCACTGTAGAATATGGAAGAAAGGAAACAATAGGGATTTTTAGGTGTTTTTACATTGCTCAATTGTTTGACATCTGTTGGTTGGCTTGACCTGTGTGAACAAAACGGTACATCCGTTTTAAAGCACGCTACACGGCGATGAACGTCGAACATAGACATAAGGCTTTTTCAATCTTCAAAATAACAACGAAACAGTGTTTTTTTGCTTGAAAATTTGCGTAGATGCTTTAACTCATAAATAGGTAGGTAGATAGATAGAGTAGAATATATAGATAGAATAGGATAGACAGATAGATAGAATAGAATAGATAGATAGAATAAAACAGATAGATACAAGAAACAAGGATTCCTATATTAGTTTAACATAGAAAGATCCAGTTTATTCGAATTCTATTTGTGTGACGCAAGTGCGCGTGCAAATTGTTAGATCGTGAATTTTTGTGAGACGTGACAAAGTACTTTCGGCGGATCCAAACGTATAACTATTCATATAATTTCCGCAAACAGCCTTGTCTCTTACGATGTGTAGCGATACCAGTGACGTGCCCCATGGACAGATAGCACGGTTCTATATCATTAGATTCACTGCTAGTCCTTAACATAGCCTGCTACGAGGAGCATCCAGATTTTAGGGGATTTGCTATAGTTATGTGTCTGAAGGCATTGTATGAAATCGGAACAAATTTATTCAGTTAAGTGAGCAGAACAAAAGCTAAATAAACACGGGAGCTATGCTTGTTTCGTTTAGCAACAGCAAAACATGGCCACGTTTTGCAAAAAGAAAATAAAGACAACCTTAGAATGAAGAACGATGTAGTATTTTTATCAATGGAGACGGATCCGCCAAGCGCAGCCCTTAGTTGTTTACGCAAGCTCTCAATAAATTACAAAATTTATATCATCTATGTGCAATATAAAAAGTTCATTCTGAACTCACAACTAACCGGTCGATTAGCACTTAGGCTTAAAGATCATCCATGCTGTTGTGTCTTGTTAGAATGTTTGCACCCATTAGCAAAAATGCCGGTGTCCAACCGGAAAGGCCACACCTGCCCGTGACCGATCACAGAAAGTCCGTGCATGTGAAACTTGCTTCCGTGTTTTATGGTATTAATAAGAAAAAACATTTCATGAGAGAATGCTACCTTAGTAATTCTATTTTCTAAGTATCGTAAACTTCTGGTCAAGGCGCCATCCCCTTATCAAACACACAGTTCACAAGCACCTGCTGATACACGCAAGGAATATATATATATATAATATGCTGACACACGCAACGTGATTGTATAGCACGTACTGGACTTTCCCCTACATCTGACTTAAATGAGTGAAAGCATGTTTTTTTCCCCATATCCCCTTTTCTGCATCTCATCAACGAAATCTTCACAGACCGCCGAAGGCTAAGACAACACCAGCTCATAGCGTCTCACGATACCTTCCATGCATGATATGCAAATTTTCCAACTTGGTTATGCTTTCGTATAGGCGTGTCGGTTACAGCGTGCATGTATGTGTGCAGCATGGAAGGTTACGTTGATTAGTCAATCTCTTATGGTTTCGAGTCCTTAACCCGTCGTGATTCCCCATACAATCCTCAGCTGGTTGGCTAGTGCGCGCTTGGCGGGAAATTGTTTAGCCGCAGATTCTCGTTGTTAGTATAGCTCTGTACAGTTAATGCGGCAAGTCAAGATTGGTTGGTACATACTAGAGCTGTTAAGCCGTGTCGAACTCCATTTGCCGATGACGTTGCGGTTGCCCTAATCCACAGCATCTTCCTGTTCACCACTTCCTCGAAAGCTTTGTTGGAAACAGTGTGTGGCTTTGTCAAGGAAAGATAAAACCAAACCGCACGGTATAACAACCATACAAGCGGAATTAGTCGCCAAACTTTGTATTATATGACTTTTTTTTATCTTCGTCTATATATATAAACAGGCAGTTGTGCTATTAGATACAGTTTACCTCTGTAATATGAAGGACATTGTAGTTGAGTCTCCTAATTCTACCAACGCACGGAACACTTATCCACGGGAAGTACTTGGACAAGACATGGGATTTGATGCAGATGAGTGTATCAGCCATTATTATCATTACTTTACGAAGAGCGGCTTGATCAAGTACGTCGCAGACACAAGCTCTTAAGTTTGTTGGAGAGATTCCACTCCAACTGGCGGGAAAAATATCTGCGTGCAAACAGCGGTGCTAAGGTTATCGGATGCATAGTGTTCTTGTCCCTTTGTTTTACTTTTTGTGTCGTTATGGTATCTGAGAGGCACAATCTTCACGACCGCCTGTAAGGGTCTAACTTTTTGTGTCTTCACCCCACAACAACTAAACAACCCCATTTAGGTCATATAAGTGGAAGTATTTCCTTTGGGTACTGAACAGGCTTATGGGCCAAGTGAACTCAACTGAAAACAGGCATCGTTGATGTTTTGAAGACAAAGATTGAAATCCGACCGTTGATACTTTACTACAGTTAATTGCTTTGTGAAAATTCATCTTTATGGATGTCTGCTGGGATCCGAGAACACTAGCAGACTTCTTTGTGGATCGACATCTCTACGTGTCTTAAGTTTACGATCTAAAATGGCCGTGAACAACGTTCAGTATCTAGATCGCATGACACAAACTCAACTTTTTGAAACACGTTATTGACATAGAACGTATTGCCGTTAACACTAAGTGTCTTCTTCTATCAAAAGGCTTGTTGCATTGGTGAACATATTGAAAATAAAAAGTCTATCTAAAATAGAAAAGGTAACAGCTATCAGGCATATTCATTTAGATTTATGTTGCAAGCTTAGCTTGAACTAGCTGATCCGCTTATGCTACTCACGTAAAAGCTATAACCTCGATATGTCGCCAAATGTGCTTCCCATCGAGAGCAAGGAGCTATAGGCTTTACGTGTTTGTATTTCTTGTCGTGATTTTGGTTTGAAAAAAAAACAAAAATGAATAAATCTTCTTTTTCTTGTGAACGTAGTGTTTTTCAAAAAGCTTTTACTTTCATACGGAAACTTTTACGAAGGTACACTGGTCTTGCGCTCAAGTTATTGTTTACATTTTCAGGCGAATAATTTGTGCCCATCAACGTGTCTAATGAAGCACTGGATTAAATTGGGGCTTCAAGTGGACCCCGATGGGAAATTGCCGGTGCGTCGGATCGCCCACACGTTCGCGTCAGGCAAAACGGATAAACTAGTCTATCAGTGCATGAAAGACATCGGATTGCCTAACGGAAAGGTCTGTATACATTTATCAATAAAATGATGTACTATTTAAAGGATTGGTGTAACCACAATGTAGACAGACTAAATTGTTACCTAGGTCGACTCCGCTTAATCGCACTGCCTCCGATGCAATGCCCATATATATATATATATATATATATATATATATATATATATATATATATATATATATTTATGTTTATTTTTATCCTCTTAAATCATCCGCAGGATATTTTTAGTGTCCTCTAAAGTTAAATAATCAGAGTCACGCACAAATGTTTATTTGGCGATTTCCTAAGGGCTGTACACATAGGAGTATTGGCGAGGAGACATAAAAACATAATACTCCTTCCTATCATCCTCCATTAGATATAACGCTTATTCGCTAGTTACCATTACTTGATGTCAGCACTTCGACCCTATTTTATTTTTCTGGTTGTGATCGTTATGCCCTTTTACCTATACTATGCAGTGTTCCGGCTTTCTTGGTTAAACCGTCCTGCCTGCGTTCACCACTCATTCCTGTCTTACCGTCGGTCGTCTTTCCATTATAATACGTCGACTAGGCACGCCGCACCGCGTAAACAGGAAAAGGGCAACGATATGCCTAGTTCTTACACAACATTTCTCGTAACAACTCTCCTTCAGCTCACGCCTTCTGCCGTTTGTGTTGTTTCTGCGATGCTATGCAGTAAGTCCGTATCGTTCACTTTGCGTCGACCCTGAAGACCTATCTTCAAATAGTAGGTCCATTGTCCTTCCCTTTGCCCTGGTGTTGTGTTGCACCCCGAAGTTCACCGATGCTGCGTGCCTTAATTATGAATCAGACTTAGCCTACCAATTGAATCTATGTCATCTAAGAGTCGGATGATAGGCCTTACGCCCCACAATGCAGTTATGTATTCTAGCATAAGCAGCTGCGAACTTCGGAAGCTGAGATTACGTTTGTTTGTTGCATCTCGTTATTGCTCGAAGCAGACTGTGTATGGTGACAAAAAAAATACACGTCAAACAATCTTCTGACAACGAAAAAGGTTCTTATTGCGTAGCAATTGACCGACTCTTGCGGCTGTCGAGTAAAGAGCAAAAAGAAGATGGTGCTGTTGACTCCGATATTTCTGCGAAGAGATCGCGTTCAAGTACCGCTAGTGGTTTAGTGTTTAGTATGGAGCCAACCGATATCGTCCTAGCCACCGAACACTTCTACAAAGTTATTTTTGACTATTTACAAGAGATTTTCCTGAACACGATATCTCTAGAACTCTAAGAAATTAGCCTGGTTGCGGTTGAAATTGTGTATACTTGCGTTTAGTATAAATAACACAACGGATCTTCGATATTGTACATGTACTGCGTGAGTGTTATGAGACCATGTGCGTTTGCAGTAAGGCAAGTCAAGTATCTAATGTATTATAAATCGTGACAAATCTTTTGGCATAAACCGTAACGAAAGCGTGTTAACCTATCAAATTGATGGGAGAGACAGCGAGCCAAAAGGATATGGCCGTAACGACACGGCCAATATTCCATCAGGAACTTGCGAACGATTCAAACGTCCGCTGGCTTCAGATTCGAATGCATTCAGTCTAGCACAGTCATAGCTTCGTCTCGTAGCAAATAAGGAAGGAAACGCAATCGTTGCCGTTCATGCATTCCCGATGGAGGCAGGCACGTTGACATAAGGCAACCATTAGAAGCACAGCTAGAGAGGTAATAGCACTAACAGTAAGCAGGACCGCAACGTTGCAAACAGATCTGTTCAGCCTGTCAGCTGGCGAAACAGTTGGTTGGTCCGGGCCGGTGGCTGGTTCTTCTCTTCTTCTTTCGCTCTGTGTTGTTCGTCCTCTTTCGTTTTAGTTCTGTTAGGGCCTGGCCCAAGTGGCTACGAGTCCCTTGTGGCCAGGGGTTCTACATTCACCAAGTTGAACGACCGAGATGTATAGCGATTTCCCTGCTTCTTTCCATTGCTCTTTACCCTCTTTCTCATGCTCCGGGTCCTCGTTGAGATCGTCGTCGTCGCACTCGACCCGTCGACGTCGACACTGGAGACTTTGTTAATTTTTTTTTTGCCACCGCTGCTGCTGCCGCCCCTGTTCATCTATTGCTTACGTTGTCTTTTACTTGCGCGGTTTTCGTTCGTTTTCGTGCACGGGATTGCGTGTTTGGTGATATGAGCGCGTGACACGCTTTACTGTTGTCATAGCGTTCGTGGCTGTTCCGTTATCAACAGCGGAAAAACAATGGATTTCCCACGGGATCACTTGTTACGTTGCTGCTGGTGGAATAACAGCACGTAGCCTCAAGTCGAATAAAGCTGAGTTGAGTCCTTCGTTGGTTCGTTTATGTCTACCCTTCCGCCAACCCTCTGTGCTTTCCTTATCGTCGCCCCTTTCGTTGTCATCACCGTCGTTATAAAGCACCCTCTGCTGTTTCTTATTCGCGACTCTGGGCATGAACCTTTTCGCTCTTTGAGAGAGGAAAATGTGTGGAAGCTGGTTCCTCTTTGTCGCCGTTCTATTTCGCTGCTTGTTCTGTATAATGATGGTAGTGTTTGAGAGCGTTGTAGACGAAGTGCTACTCGAAATGGCGAAACGAAGGTGGTGCAACGACCTCCGGCTGTCGAGAAAAGTCTTCCTCTAGTTGGGAACCGTAGAGGAGGTAGGGAGCTGCGGAGCGAGGCGTTTTAGGGGGATAAAGCATGGGCACCGCAAAGCAAGTGAGAAAGCAAATTTAGGAAGGAGTGAGATTAGAGATACGAATTGGCTTGAAGGGGTAATCCAAGTGAAGTGGAAAATGCCGCTGCCAGCAGTGGTATTGCCACTACTATTACATTATTCTGGCCGACCGTGGCTTGTTTTGGCTAGCAGTAACCGACAGCGCGCACGCTGACTGGCTGAGCGGCAAGAGCGGGAGTGGCTGCAGCAGCCGCAGAGCTACGTTACTCTTTCAAGTTACTATCATCATCACTTCTACAGTTTCTAGCAGCATCAGCCGAAGACCCTTATCATAACGATCAGTAGTGCGTGTCTTGTGGAAGTTCCTAATAAAATTCGCTTATACGAAGGATCTAAGACATGAAGAAGATCGACGGACGTTAGAAGAAGGCGATAAATAAGAACAGACGAAAGGCGTCTTTATCTAAGTGCGTGGGTAGACAGAGGCCTTTATAAAAACAGAGTTCCTTTTGGCCACAGACAACTGTACAGCAGAAGAGAAGAAACATGTATGAAGGTGCTAAAAACAACAAATACCTTCGTGAATACTCGAAAGCTAATTTGGTTGTTCTATTATCAAATGAAAATGAAAACTGCGTCGGCCTTAGGTGATCTCTATGAAACTGGGCAGGGGAATAGTCGTCCCGAGATTGCTCATAAAGTTACTTTATGAATTTCAGTTGTAGCCGGCCGTTAGGCAACACCTTTAGCATCGTAAAACATTTGCCCGGGTGTAATTTACCATAACTCACTCCATCTATTTTACTGCTCGCTTTAACGCTGACTGCCTTAGCTTTCATCTGGCCTGTTTATTCACTGTCAAGACGTTGGTAAAGGCCACGCCGATACTGTCACTGAATCCATTTGGGGGCGTGACCCCCAATTATCATATCTAAAAACGGTCCCCTTTATCCTGTTTACCTGAAGGCAGGTTAAGGTAAGCCGTATGAGCAGACAATAAACAAGTATTCAGTGAGGGTAGTTCTTACGGTGAATAAAAGGGGCAGAGTTCATTATATTGTTGACTAATAGGGATCAGAATTAATAGATTAAAGTCCAGATAAATTAATATCTATTTTTTCAGAGATTATATCTAGTGAGTATTTAAGCAAGTCGATTGCCGTAAGTCACTCTTCCATGGTAATTATTGTCCGATATAATTACTTCCTAAAAATAATTTATGGATAACTCAGGTGGATTCCCGCAAGATTCGTTATACTAGTACCATACAAAATTATGGCATTTTCTTTTTTATATGGCATTTCTTCCTTACCTCAGAAGATGAAACAACAACAAATATAAGATATCATAAATGATAAGCTAATACGATGCGAGCATTACTAATGCGTTATTTCAAGGTACAACATTTTCTTTTGGGTGTTTTTCATCATAAAACGTTCGCTACCCTCCAGCCCCCCCCCCCCCCCAGCAGCCGGCGCGAACAAAACTCTATGTAGTAAAGCTACAAACAGGCGAATTGTGCCTGTTGGTGACTAGACCGTTATGATTTGATTCCTATAAGGGCCTATGATAAAAACTATACTGTCGAAATTGCAAAAAAAAAAAGGAGCGAATCAAAAATCGGTTCTTTGAATTTCATCTTACATTAATTTAGGCTTTTTTGTATTGAAGCACTCTGTACAGCTTCATCTGCTTTTACTAGTCAAAAAGATACCGCTCTTTAATTTTCTTAGGCTTTTTTCTCCGTTCAGTTAAGCCTGTTTGCTTCCTCAGACTATCACTCCGTTCTTTTTCCTTTATTTAAAAAATACATATATATATATATATATATAACGTATGTTAGAACATGAAGGTACACCTGAAGCTGTATCATGTGTAACCTTTACAGGTCCAGTGTGCATGTGCGTTACATTATTATTCATTATAATCATCGTTTTTTCTACTGTGCAAAAAAAACGAAAGTTTCAGCTAACGTGCACGTCTGTTTTACGTTTTATTGAATTTTTCGTTTTACCTTTATATTGTATCTACGACCCTGTAAGCCTTTGCTTTATTTCATGCCATATCTTCTCGTATACCGCTATTTGGATTGTCGTGGTAAAGGATTAGAGGATAGATAGACAAAGAGGACCGTACTCGTGTTGGTCTCATCAGGGAGAAGGCGCTTTATGTCACTACTGTGCAATGTCATTTTTGTGTATTTATGCCTACCGTTTTAGACTAGCTACGATGTCAGCTGTTGCTGCCGTTTTTGTTATTGTTATTGTTGTGTTTTTAGACGGACGTGATCGATCCGGCGGACTTTACGCTGGATAAGTTCGAAGAGCTGTACCAGCGCGTGTGTCCACGCAATGACATCGAAGAGCTATTCGAACAAATCACGGTAGGCCGTGAGGATTTCATCAATCCGCGACAGCTGGTCGCTTTCCTCAACGACAAACAGCGTGACCCACGCCTTAACGAGATTCTGCACCCGTTTTACGATGAACGGCGTGCGCTCGAGATTATCTCAAGATACGAAACCAACCCCGAGTTTGTCGCACAGCAAAAACTTAGTCAACAGGGCCTTTGCAGGTTTGCATACAAAGATAAAGTAAAAACAAACATCGAATGAACCGTATCATATGGAAATTCTGCGTGTTGTTATTGATGACATAACTTATTACTATAATAGGTACACGCTGTTCGAGGATGATTTCCTGCAGTTACCAAATATGGTGGATGAAAGAATAGATCAGTAATATTTTACTTTAAAGTTGTTAGATTCAAAGAGAAGCCACACTATTAATTTATTTAAATCTTGTCGCATTAAATACAGATTTGCAAAAATTAAGCTCGTTTAAATACGTTTCCCTCGTTTCAGAAATATGCCAAGACATATAAAATCAAACACACGCAGTCGTCTACAAATATCTGTATACGAATGCAAACTAGACAATATAGGCCTCCCTGCCACTATCACACCCCTCCAAGTTGTGCTTGTAAATTGGCAGATGCTCTGATAAGTTTATAGATTAACACACGCTTTTCCAATAATCAATGAAATTTTTTAGTGTTTTTTTTAATGTTTCTCTGTATTTGGCTTTTTTTATGCTTTCGCATTCGTGCCCTGCTCTAATTCTGTACGAAATCGGTTTCTTATCGTACCCTTCAATCAACGATCCATTCACTTCCACGATTCGGACGAATCGTAGGAGAAATCTCTGCCTCAGCTCGATCTGTTTATAGCAATTGCTGTTTTGGTCTACCTGTGCCTACTCACGTAGAGTGACGATTTATTTTGGTCTTTCCGCGTTTACTAGAACTAGTTATATAAACTTTTTTTTTAATGCAAAAATGCGGCATTTGCAGTGCGTGCTGGGCACATTTATAGCAGGGCGCCCCAGTTATTTTTCCTAATGGCCCGCTAATGAATGAATAACTGGCCGCCGTCGGTTGTGGGTAACCAAGAAGTTGCATTCAGTTAAATATATACACTTCTGAATAGATATTGCCTTGTGTCTATTTTACAGCTATTTTGCAGAATTTTTACAGCTAATATGTTGGCAGTGATGGAAGCTTCGGATCGTAAGTTGTAAGATAGACTCGACGCAAGTGTCTTCGTACTTTCAAATATCCACTCAGGAATAGTATAAATTTACAGGGCGTAGACAAAGAATACGAATGGTTACTGCGTACGGTGTGATAGAAATGAGGCAGGATATCCCTAATGTGATCTAACAACGTTTGTAGTGGTCAGGACAATGTTTTTCTTGGCTAGTTTTTAGTGTATGTTTATTTGTTATTGTTTGCCTGCATTATCCTAACTGGTCTTTACCGTCAGGTACCTAATGTCGGATGAGAATGCGCCGGTATTTTTGGATCGACTGGACATCTATATGGAGATGGATCAGCCGTTGTCACATTATTACATCAACTCGTCGCATAACACGTACCTGACAGGCAGACAGTTCGGAGGAAGATCCTCGGTAGAAATGTACAGACAAGTAAGTACCAATTAGAACATCGTGCAAACATTTCTATAAAGCGCTATGTGTAACAACAGCTATGAAATGATTAATAACAACCTTTATCCTGTATTGACACATTGTACACGGAAATAGAGCGAAAATATTAGAACGCTCATGTTTGGTACAGCCGGGCTCCAGCTTCTTCCTGACGCTCGTACCCCTGCGTACCTGTTTTGTCAAATTCTCCTATTTTTAATCAACAGAGCTTGCAGTATTTTTATGGCCTGGCTCAGTAGCTGTATGTTATTATTATTATTATTATTATTCCTAACCTTTAGTAACTGCGCGGCCGAACAATGCGTACATTAGTTGCTTAAGGCATCGTGAGTCTCTAAGGTTCAGATGGTCAAACTGGCACTAATTCTAATTCATTAGGTTGGTAAACCTATACACTGCTCTCAAAGTATTGAAACAAAGTGTCTTGCCCTATTATAAGGACAGACCCTTGTAGATCACATCCGGTTTATACTAACTTTTTTGAAATGAGCGCTGGGCGCAAAGATCAAGATATGTTCCAGATTTACGGGTCCCAAGGCAGCTGAAAAATGAAACACAAATGAAGAAGACTAAATTCTTAGAGCGTGTAATGTCAACATCGTTTGGTGTAGTTTATAAATGACTAACGTTTGACACATGCTTCACCTCATCCTCGTAAACCTAGATAAATCGACGTTATCTTAAGGTCATTACTGAGAGCCCTGTCGTTGAAGCGTAAAGTATTGACGCTCATGGAAACTGGATCCTGCACATCTGGATACACTCTTCTCTGGCATGAAATATACCTCCGACTCTTGACTTCTATCTCTTTAGTCGACACAATGCTTTACCTGACACTCCATGGTCTTTTCTTAAGTACATTAACTTCTCTCTGTTTCTAATTTTAGCAGAAGTAAGTGGGTTTGGTTAACGCGAATGTGTTTGCCATATAATGCTTCGATGCATAAAATGGCTTCGCATAACCGAATGGATGCCCCATGTGAAGAAAACTATTATTAATAACGCAATATAACGATCCTTTAGTCAATTACGAAAAAAAAAGTAAATAGAAAAATAATTTCCGAAAGCTAAGTCCTACGAAAATGTTACAAAAAGTTACCCAGTTTTTACAAATGGCAACCAGCATAACTTATATATGTATAGTACAGTGTCGATAAACGGTCGATACTGGCCTCATATGCTGGCAAACCAGGAAAAAATGCTAACGTTTTTCTTCTTCACCGTTGTTAGCACAATTATTTAGGACTAGTTAGTAGCAATAGCCGAAAGAGGTCTCCTAAGGATCATCCTGACTAACTATGTATTTGCACCATAGCACCCCCGATCCCTAAAGGGGAATTTTGTCATCAACTCCAAGTAACATGGAAACTATACGTGTACGTTGCAAACAGTGTTTGTAGGTGGCAAGGAAATTGCAGAAAAGTTGCTTCCTATTTCTTTTAAATTATCCGCATGGGTAATTTTTTGAACGGGTTAATCTGTTGATCAAGTGGACCGTTCAATTGCGGGCTTAGTTATTCTTAAATTAAAGATATTCGTTATTAATACCATTATACATTTGAAATATAAATTAGTTGTATTACTAATATGCAACCAACGTGTTGCGCAAGTCGTGTTTTCCTTATACAAGCTCCAATCCGTTATAAATGTTTAACAAAAAAAAATCGGCCAGAGAAGGCACGATAAAAGTTAAGTCTTCAAACGCGCATTGGCCTTAGGCGGAGCGTCTGCTATGGTTGTATCTGTTTGTCCCCTTTTAAGTGGCCTAAATCTCACCTAAGCCACGAGTTATTTCGAGAGTCGGTTGTTTATTCCGCGTGGCTAGATCTTCCTCTAATTTATTAACAACAATGAAGCCTTCGACGACCTAGCTGCAAAGTCTTCTCGAAAACACGACGTGAAACGACAAAGGAAGCAGGCCTTAGGTGACTTGGCCTCCTTTCATGACCTTATTTATACTATATCTTAAACGAGATTTAAGAATTTGGCCAACCTCTGATATTAAAGGTAGACAGCTTTATGTCCTCCTGTCATTATCAAGTGATTGCGTTTACAATATAGGTTGTCCTATTTAATAGATTAATCTAACAGATCTTGAATCTGTCTCTGTTTCAATAAAACTCGCGCTAGAATGGTTAACATGAAAGCCTGATAACTTGACGTAGCGACCTTAACGCTGAACACAAACGGCCTGTTATGAAAATTATAAGCGACGCCATTGGCTGAGATGACTAGGTTGGGCACTTTTGAAGTTCCTCTGTTTCTACAGATTGCGATTGTGATGCATCAATCGCCATTGAACGGAGACCATTCAACGTCTGCTTTTGCTTGTCTATACTCTGTACTGTATCCATCGTAATTATCCTTGATATCTTGGATATCCAAATCGTGGCGGTCAAAAGTGGTCGAGAGGTGGTCCACGTCTATGCTTTCGGCCAGAAACTATAGAAAAGTTTACTTATCTTTTGCTTAAATGCACATTTGTAACTTAATTCTATTATGAAATGCTATAAAGTAAGATTACTGACTTTGCAGAACTTGAAATCGTTGTTCTGACAACGTTGAAATTTGACAGACATGTTTTCGAAGTTTTTTGTGTGATCTTGTCGTACAAAATGGTCCGTGTTATACATATATGATTTTGCAAGTAACAACTTATATGGACATGGTTTACTAATACATTTCTTATTGATCTGGTTATTTTTTTCACCCCGGTCCTATCGATGCTATACTATCTAAATTAATTCAAGGTTTTATTCCACTCGATTACCTTGGTTACTTAGTATACCTAAAATTATTTTATCAAGTTCATTGCTTGATTACGACTGAAAAAGTGAGTCATGAACGGTAAGATTTATTCGTACCTTCCGAACAGTTTGAATTAAGGAAAGGAAATGCATTAACACAGACACACGAGTGTGATTTACTTATATCATCTTTTTTTCTTTACGTCGATGCGTATTCGATGTCCCGCGATACTTCGCCCGTACTGTGTTAATGTAGGAGGAAAACTACTGAGTCAGGGTATTCTTGCACAGTAGGACAGATGCCTTCATACGCTAATAGGACAGAGCTGCTGTAGCACGCCGCAGTGGTCGTGATTAGTACGGCTGTATAGGATTCCCAGATAAAGACCTGTCGGCGTCGTAGTGACCCTAGTAATCGTCTTCTAACCAATACCTCCCGCACTTGTCCGTGCTCTGCCCCGTTTCGAAAGATGTCCCTTACCGTGTTAAACACATACCCAACCGAATTTCCCCGTCTTCAATCTTGTTTGCTTCTTTACTGTATCTTAATTCTAAGCCTTAACACAACGTTCCACCCACTGGAGAGTGGCATTGCGTAACTCCACGTTTCGATCTGTCCTAGGTAGCATATGTGCTCGCAACGAAAGCTCCTTACGGTCGGAGCATACTAGAAGAACGTATGGCACTTGCTGGCAGTCTTGGCGGCCCGCAGACGCTACAAAAGAAGCGGACACCTTGCTATAGCCCGCGCTGCGTGCTAACTCAGCTTATTGTTTGATAAAGGTCTCATTTGCTATTTGTATAAGGAAAGCGAAAAAAGTAATCGTTAGCTGCCGTATAAAGAGCGAAGAGCGATAGGAGCAGCCAATGACGGGAGGATGTGATAAGCACGACTACGGCAGCCATATGTTTGAATGTATGTGAGATACTTCCTGAGCCCTCGGCCTGTCCAGTCCTGTAGTTCGGGCTCGTCCCTGTCGTTCGATCGCTGTCGTCGCCGGCAACCAATAGCGGCAGCGGAGTGGCGATATATCGAGGGAAAAAAACTGTTGGACGTCTGGGTCCTTCTTGCCACTGCTTGATTCACAGCCGCCGCGTCTCCGGCAGCATTGAGGCACACGAATAAGTGTTTTCGCTAATCGTCGTGTATTATGCGAGCCGCTTATTAGAACACGTGAGATGGATTGTACCGCAGAACGGCGAGTGGGAGTAGCGTGCTGAATACGTGGGCGTACTATATGGTAGTATTAGGATGAAAGACGCTGGCTGGCAGAGCTTCTTGAGCTGGAGAGTGGAACATGAGACACTGACCAGGCAGGAAAATAAAAACGTGCAGTTTTGGATAGCATGAAGCTCCGAGACATATATCTGAGCAGTATGGCACAAATAATGCGAGCACAATTCGATGGTAAGCTGGTGAGGGATGGATGGCATTAGTTTTCATGTAGGAAACATCCAACACAGGTAATCTTTTGGTGACGATGGACGCACGTCGCTTGCCGCTTTGGTCGTCCAGGCTGGATTGAATAGGACCGAATAGCCATCGTCCCTTGCAAATGGGTAGAACGGACGATATCCCGATACATATACATATATAGCTACGACATAAGCGTTGCTCGTTGCTAGACGTATGTCCAAATGGCGGATCACATCGATGTTTGCGTATGTATATACAGAGTACGTTCGACTCAATGTTGTTCATGCGGTACAAGCTTCTACACGGCCGAGTAAATATATGCCGTTAGATTATGTGCCACACAGATGACAAACGTCGATGAATCTTGCAGTGGTACTAGCTCGAACTAAACTAAGACAACCAAATAGGGTAGCACTTCTAGCAACCATAGAAGTGCTGTTAGAGTAATATACGGGTTACAGACACCCAGAGAGAATATTTTGATTGATAGTAGACCAGCAGACGGCATCAAGCAGCATTAACGTGGTCGCCAAAGGCCATGAATTCGTCATGGGCGCACTTTTCCTATTCTCAGAATACGGAAAGAGGACAGATACTATTCACTTGAAAAACTTGCGACAGCAAACTCTGTGCTACATGTTACATACGAATATATGATAACACATTGCAGCGTTTCAAAAGTAGCGGTCGCAGAGCTGTCATACTTGGGCATCTCCTATTTTACAGACAGCAGTGACCTGGGGTTAACTATCGTAACCGCGTTGGGTTCTATTTTCGATCTGGATTACATTACAGGGAGGTATATAATCTCATTGTCAACATTTGCCATATAAGAAAGATAGAGGGCGTCCTTCTGAGGTCGAGATTAGTTTTAGACTCTAGTGATATACGTTGCATGTACCCAATTAGGAGACGCGTATCGTTAGGCTGCGCAGCCAGCGCGTCTGATGGCCTGCGCCAGACGATGGCATGACACTGACGTGCTCATGCCAAAGATTTGACCAAAAATTAGAGGCAGACAGAAGCAGACAAGGGTCGGTCGGTTAGGTTTATCCCGTATCCATTCGTTCAAAGGGGCATGGATATTTTACCACTGCTACTCGGAAACGGACCGCAGTCTGATTTCAGACAAAAAAAGACAGCCGCAGGATATTATTGGCTAATTCAATTATGAAGTTGACTGCATAATGAGATTAGGATTTTTTTTTAATCTTTCTCATGATGCAGGGCCTTTGAAGCTTAACGTCAAAAGCTTTCAAATGAATTTATCGGAACACCTAGTTCGACTGAAAAACTGAAAACCTTAGAAATATAACCTAGTTTATTTGCGATGTATTTGTATATAAACTTTTCTTGTCTAAAGGTAGAAAATCGCCCTAATTTTTTGTGCACAAGTTATGCTGAAATGTATTTGATTGCATAATTTCCTCCATGTTGGCTATAATTAGATGTTTTTTATCTTCGAGGTTACTTTGTCATTCTTTCAAGCAAAAACGGAGTATTATATTAAGAAGCATAGGATCTGAAAAAGCCGCGCAATAAAAGGTAATACGCGTGAAACTTAACAAAAGCATTATTGTAATGTAGAAGTATTGTTATTGTTAAACAAGCCCAGCGCCGAACGCGACGAGACCTCAGTCGATCTCGTCTAACGTTTGCGTGTATAAGTCTGCTTTTCGCAGCAAATCGCCGCGAACAGTATCAGTTCTGACAAAGTCTGACAGCAAATGCTCTAGTCAGCAACGTTGTTTCATATCGTTGGTACATGCGGACAAATAGCTCTAAAAGGTGTCGATCAAGAGCGTCAACCTGTAGGCAGAATGGTCGAATTATAGGAAGAATTGATTTTAAAAGGGGTTCGTTGCGAAAATATTAGCTAACCGCACCGTAAAACTGTATCGTTCGATATTTTCACGTTGAATTTTATCGTCAACGTTTCGTAAAACTTCAATAAATTAATTAATTCAACGTAAATAAATTAATTTAATGACAACATAGTAAGTAGCAAGTGTATAGGCAGTAAAATATAACGTGCCTAGAGAAAAAGGAACAAAATGTTGTCGGAAATAAGGCCAGTGTTAATGATGGACTTTCACAGACGGCTGTCATAGATATTTGTAATACGGTTCAGCGTTTGATTTGAATAAATAAACGATGCCGCGTCAAGTTCTTCTCTATTTCATCTAGTTATAAAGCTATTCCGAAAGGCCAAACTGCGAGCACTGAGTGTTTCGGGACATTACAAGAACTACGTGACGATTGATCCTCGAAATAAACAATTCGTTTGCTGATTTGTATATCCCTTGCAGCCATTAAAAAAACCTGTGCCAGTCAATAACCACCTGTATCATATATTTCCCAGGTGTTAATAGCTGGATGTCGATGTGTCGAATTAGACTGCTGGGACGGAAAAGGCGAAGATGCTGAACCAATTATCACCCATGGCAAGGCCATGTGCACCGACATCCTGTTTAAGGGTAACTGTAACTGTAAAAGCCATTGAATATAATATTTATTCAAAGAATTCTAGACTGAACAGTTGTATTGAATAACAAACGTCCCCGACCTATTTACAACATAGCTATTCTGGGCAGATGATCCTAGGACAGCTCTATAACGGTTGTTTCACTTGTGGTATTTCCATCGAACCCACAGGCTTACGTATTAAAACTGACATTTACAGGATCATCGAGAAGCTTTCCATTCGCATTGTCCTTACTATTAATTGATCGAGTTTACGCGTTTGTTTTGTTACCGGTAGCACAATGACATCAGATCTGCTATGCGTGTTTGTATCCTGTGTACCAGTACAAAATCTAGCCTAATCTCGCTTTGTGTCGTTCCATCTAACGGTACAGATGTAATCTACGCGATCCGGGACTGCGCCTTCGTGACTAGCGACTATCCAGTGATTCTGTCGTTCGAAAATCACTGTTCCAAACGACAACAGTACAAGTTAGCTAAGTACTGCTACGACATTTTCGGTGACCTGTTGCTTACTGAGCCCCTGCCGACACACCCACTCGTGCCTGGAGCGCCGCTTCCGAGCCCTAACGATTTGAAAAGGTCAGTTGTCCGCAAATTAAGCCGCCAGCAAGCGGAAAAACGTCTACGAAATGCAATCTTTCACGCAGAGTTATTAATGTGATAGCCTTTGAGTGCCACTTCACTTCTTGGCATTTTTTTTCAGGTCAAAAAGGACACTCAGAACAAATTATAAGAGTGGACGCAAATTATATTGGATTGATATTGATGTAAAGTTGGCCGCCGATAACACCCAGAAAGTCTTCTAGGAAGCCAGTACAAACGAACACTACTATATAAGTATGAATTACTATGTTGCGTTACTATGGCAATTTTTACGTACGGCTAAGCTACAATAACTCTATGGTGTTAGGGTCCTTGAAAACTACAGAACAATTAGAGAAAAGTTCCAGCCCGCACGACTTACGTTCGATATTAAAATGCATTTGACGCATAATCCATGGCGTATATAGACATTGCCGTGTAGCGTAACGATGGGTCGCATCAAATACCGCTGTTCAGGGCATCCTGCGCGTTTAATCCATGTGTCTTGATCGGTCGACGCAAATCAGTACGTAAAGTTGGCTAAGTACCAAACGGAAAAAAAATTGAAGTCGTTTTTGTTGTACCGCTACGGATAGCAGTACCCATACATTGCGCTACATCTGCACACAGGTACTCGCGCCGTGCGGAAGTTAATTGATCGAGTTGGCCAAGACCTTTCAGAATGAAATCAAGGTCAGCAAGGCACATTGTTCGAGACTGCATAACACTGCTCTATGGTCGCCCTATGATACATGACAGCTGCATTTCTATAGTGGGTGACCCCTGTACTTCTATTCAACGCATATTTAACAAAAAGAAAACTTTATACGCTTTCCTATCTATACGTTATTATTTCTAGCCTTTGATGAGGTACATACGCATACCGCTTATGATTCACTTATGGGGCAATGAATTTTTAATTGTCCCATAAGATTGACTGTATGTGAACGGCATTTTGTATGTGGTATCTTTACCGATCACTATAACCCTTCATTGATCATCAATGTTTTGTTAAAGAAACACTAAAAACTAATTGATTAAGACAAGCACGTTCATAGGCATTTAATTGCCCCGATGTACTACTTATCTACGATGAGGGTACGATATAAAATATTCAGATCCGTAACAATATCTGCGTTGACTAGAGAACCTCCTATTTTTGTCCAGCAACAGCGAACGCGGCAGCTTCATTCTACGCCATTAAAGCGCGATCTAGGCATGTCACTTCTTTACTCACTTGAATTTCATGAATTTCATTATGATCGGCGTAAGACGTTATAGGTCGACCTTGTTTGGCGTCCATGCCTGCGTTGTTAGCTCAAGCCCGGCCAGCCAATGCACGACGATATATCCATCGTGTTACCGTGCTAAAATTTATCCCTTCTATAAATGTCCGCGCAGTAAACCACGAACGAGATCGTCACGGAACACGTACCAATCCGCTTGTCTGTGTGAGCAAATTGTCAGTGAGCAGACCTATACAAATATGTACCGTAATTTCGCCATTACATATAAAACAACCCGTTGTCAGGTTCAAATGTCGCTGTTTTTCTGCCGAACAAAAATAAAATTCTAACGGCTTTTTGTTAACAAAAAAAAATCACATAGTCCTATGACGTGGAAGCTTACGACAAAGTGGAGGAGCTGGATCACACGGTACTTTACATTATAGTTACGTAGTTGATAACCGAGACATTTTTTCTGTGCACCTTTAAGCATCAAGCAATGTTAATTGAATTGTACGCTGCACTATATAGGAAGGTTTGCTAGACGATTAGCACGCAGTCGCTAAGCGTACCCTTTGCCGCAGCTCTACTGATATCCGTGTGTATCGACATTGGGGAGAAAAGAAGAAATACTAGACACACTTTTACTTTCATCTTTCTCTCGATACGGTCACGTGAAAATTATTTAGCGATAACATGCAGAAATGGCTTGAAGATGAACCACCGGTGATTAGTTGACAAAAAAAGAAAACACTTTGTCACCATGTAACAGTTTACCAGGCACCTTTAGAGCTTAAACCTATCAGAGGCTAATGAATGTGCCAGCAAAGCAAAAGTGTGATTCCTGTAATTGCGAGAAGAGGATCTCTGTGAGACACTTCCCTGCTACGTGCATATCACTTAAAACATTTAAAGTCATAGAGGAAACACCAGGCGACATAAGTTATCGTAAACTTCCTTATCTACACTACCCCGAAGAAATGATGATTTGTTTATTACATTGTAATCCTCTGTTTGAACAACGATTTGACTGACTGAACAATATTACTTGACCCGCAGCGGTCTCATTTTTATTGGTACGTTAAGTTCACATTTTCAATTATTGGCCAGCGAACACCAATTTACAACAACTCTCCTGTACCGTGACCTCGTCGTATCGATGGGAGTGGGCGACTGGGGCAGGAACAGAAAGGGATAATACAAGTAGAGGCGGCTTGCTAGCCACAGGGCAATCGTAGTTTTTTTCTACCTTTTCCTCTCGTTCAACCTTCATTTCGTTCTTTTGTCTGCATCAACCGCGTTCTTCCTGATCTTCTTGTTCTTCGTTGCCTCTTCCAAAGACACTGACGTGTACCACACTTGTTCGTTTTGGCAGAATACGTCTGCCTGTACGCTTTAGCACATAACAACGACAACGTGTACCAATAGCATTTAATGCTTCCTTTTTTCGAGATAAACTCTGTAACTTTTGTAAGTTTTATTGTTGCTCGCAATTCACCTGAGCCCCAGATGATTTGCGGTCTGCGCCACGGAGCTTGTCGATGGTAACATGTCGAATAACGACTTAGTTTTAAAGGACTTGTCTGGGGCACAGTCTTCATTGCCTTTTTTTTGCTGGCAGAAGATGTTGGTGTGAAGCAGTAAGTTTTCGCTCTACCTAGCTGTTTAACTTTACCCGGGCCCCGTGAGGTTATGGACACAGTTAATAATAGGAATAATCTAAACAGGAAAAACAACAATAGGACGTTTTTGGAAAATTGCTCGTTTGCGCTCGCATACCGTTTGCCGTCTTTTCTTTTCTGTCTGCAACGCTACAAAGAGTTGGCACAAGGACTCTAGGAAGTTCGGAGCTGTATGGTTTTCAGTTTGTTCTCGACAACATCGACTACGGGGTGGCGATTCTAGCGTCCTGCTTTCTCCTATTGCTTTGCTCCCGCGTGCTCAACGTCGCTTGGACGCGTGGGCTCCTTGTGGATGCAAAGCTTGGCCAGTAAACTCCTTAATTCTTCGTGGTCCCACACCAGTGATAACGTGCGACCCATAAGCTCATTGAAGCCAAAATATGAAAACACAAAGGCAAATCTAGGCAATTAACAATGATCGTAGAAGAACGAAGAAAAACGCGCAGATTAAAGCCAAAAACACAGCGCAAGTCTTCTGTGTGTATATCAAGAACTGTTCTATTATTATCTGGTAACTGGGAGCTTTCTGCTGATTAATTTCGAGAAAATAGTGATATAGTTAATGGGTAAAAACTTTCTTATCAAATAATGACGTTGGTGATCCTAGTTATGTTATTGGTACTTTCATGGTCGGTTTCCTTTACCAGTCGAAAAGAACAATGGACTGATTTACAACAAATACAATTTAGCGCTCCTCTTTCGTACTGCAACATGTCTTGAGATTCTGTCTGCAGAGATGAAATTTTTTCCAGGAGCACTCGTACACACACCACAATGTTTATTTTATCAAAGCTCTTGTATGACATCAGTAATTCCAAGTGATCCTTAATTCACTGGATGGAAATCTTAGTGACCTTTCAAAGCCATTCTGTTAGGCTATATTGAGTATCATGGTTTAAGCCAATTTATACGAACAGCAGCAAGAATCGCTGACCCTTCAACTTCTGCCGTCTGAAAATAATGCAGGCTTACTTCATTATAGGTCACGGTCGAGAATTATCTCTGCATGACCATTTACTTTGGTGCGCTATTTTACTTAATATGAAAGCAGTGAAAACTAATACTTCGATGAAAGGTCGACACAATGTAAACCCGAGATTCTTTGTATCATCGACAAAACCTCCGTCCAAGTTATGTTTTTGCAATATCATTCTCGGGGGTTGGGGCTCATCATCTCTGCACCTATGCAATAGTTCTTTCTACCCGATGGTGTAGAACTGCACTGAGGAAAAAGAGTATCATTAACGTTATTTGTGTTTACTGTAAAAGGATACCGTCGTCTATACGGAGAACGCGTACGCCTATATGTATCTGTCAAGCACGCGTTTCTGCTTTAGCAACCGAAAAAACGTCGGCTAGATGGTCGGCACCGGAATCTGACACAGTTCAATGGAGTGGTTCTCAGTCGCATATATTCTTCAAGTGATGCAGCTACTTTGAATCTCTGAGCGTTAGCTTGAACGTTGCGGTGCAATCGGGCTAGTGAGCCTCAACGCCTCCTCCGCTTTCCCTTAGTATAGAGTCCTCACCCGGATACGGGTGTTGTAGAAAACAGCTAGCGGCAAGCCGGCGAACAGCCACAGTTTCAAAATCATAACTTTGCACTATCGTCAGACCCAGCACGCAGCAATAGGAGATGCAGCGTTCTCTCTTTCGATTCAAAACCTTCGTCATGTCGTTCCAGCGTCCCCAAGGTCCTTCTTTATTCCCATACGGCGTCTTCTGCCCAGTCAGCAGCCGCAGCTATTAGAAAAGAAACACCATCTATTCTACACAGAGTGAATACCAGAGTAGTTGTTGTCTGCTATTGCTACTACAGCATCACAATCTAGCGCAGTCGTCTGCTACAAACATGATAAGCGATGCTGGAAGAGCACCGCACTGAGGTCATGAATATCAAGCTCAACATCGCCCTATACCCGCGAACCACGTCTTTTTCTTCCACCGTATCTTCTATCCTTTTGCAGGCTCACCTGTTCAGGACTTAAAGGAAAAGGCTTGTCGGGAAAGTGGGGCAGTAGCTGTAACCAAAACTATTGCTCAAGGTGGCTACGACGCTGGCAGCCAACGGGCGGCAACACTATACGAT